CGTTTGTGTGTGCTCATTTGTGTATGTAGAATGGTGTATGATGATCGTTGATGTATAGTCATTTATGTATGATCGCTGTTGTATAGTCATTTATGTATGGGCATTAATGTAAGGTCATTTATGTATGGTCGTTAAATTTTAGTCATTGGTGTATGGTTGTTGACATTTAGTCATTTATGAATGGTCGTTGATGTAGTAATTTATGTATGGTCGTTGATGTATAGTCATGTATGTATGGTCGTTGATGTATAACTGTATGTAGGTATGTGTTTATGTAAGTTCCCTAGATACGCGTGTCATGGTGTATGTACGTTAAAACTATACAAACCAGTATTCAGGTGGGTTTTCTTTTTTTTTTTCTCCAAACTTTGTAAGTCTCACTTGTCAATATCATCATAATAATAGCACTTATACATATTAATATTATCTAATTATTATGTCAAACTGAATGTTTACCGCATTTACAGAAATCAATATGAACCTGTTTATGCATATATGTACTCTCCTTCTCTACTCCCTATGTTTACCCAATTGTGATCCTGTACTGTATTTATGCTACTATGTCATGATAACTCTCGTCTATCTTCTCTTTATTCTTATATTCAATCCACTTCATACCCTATCCATGTGCTTCTTTCCCGAATACCTGTCTTATCCTGACCTCTATGACCCCTGTGACCCACCCCCTCTGTTATTGCTGAGTGTGTAAACGTGTACACCTATACCGATCGTCGTCAAACAATAGTGTTAGTTTTTGACGACTATGGGTAATGATATAATGTCATATAGGGCGGCGATCGGAAGTTTCTACTATCGTACACACGGTGTTCTGGTAAATCGTCATTATACTTTTGATTTTAATCTCCAACTAGGTAAGTGTAGGCAAGGTGTAATATATGTGTTGTCAAAATGTATTTATGCTATATGGTTCACACAGTCTAGTATTATCAATAACTCAAATTTTCTTCTTATCCTACAACTACTCCTTCTCTCATGTAACGATGTCCATCCCAATCCTGGCCCTGGTGATCAAAATAAAGACCTCTCTATATTTCATTTAAATATTCGCAGCCTTCGGAATAAGTTGTCCTACTTGGAACATGTATCTAGTGATTTCGATATAATTTGTATAACTGAGACTCACCTAGACATAGCCGTAGCAGACGATGATATACTCCTAGATGGTTATAACATGCTCCGTAAAGATCGTGGAACTCCGGGTGGGGGGATAAATGTTTACACTTCTGGCTCCCTGTGCACACGTCGTAGAATTGATTTAGAATTTCAAGTAGGTGAAGTTGTTTGGGTAGAAATCCAGTTTCCCAATAGGACGTATCTATTATGTACTGTGTACAGACCTCCTACTTGCACACATATATTTTGGAATCACTTTCGTCTTTCGCTGGAAACAGCCATGAATGAAGCTCCTTTTGTTGTAATCGTAGGGGATATAAATGTTGACCTCCTCACTGTTGACAATAACCATGCTCTTCTAGACATTATGAATTTTTACCACCTGACAAACGTTATCGACAGACCGACTAGAATTGGACGCACGTGCAACACACTACTTGACCCTGTTCTTCTATCAGACACGTGTAATTTTACGATATCGGACGTAATTGACATAGACCGCGACATTTCGGACCACCAAGCAACATCTGTTGAACTGACTGTGGGGACAAATATTGTAAGAAATTATAAGAGGAAAATTATTTGTTATAAAGACGCAGATTACGAACGGTTTAACAACTTACTGTTATCAATTGACTGGGCTGAACTTTTTTTAAGAATCCATTCTCCGGACGATATGTGTGACATTTTTACATCTAGATATTTAGAATTAGCTGACGAATGTATTCCTTCCAAATTTGTTACAATTAGACCTAATGACAAACCTTGGTTTAACTCTGACCTGAGACGTGAAATAAGGAAAAGAAACAGACTTCTCCAAAAATATAAATCCAATCGCACTCCAAATAATTTGAACAACTTTAGGAAACAACGAAATGGTGTAAACAATCTGAAAAAAACCACAAAAGAATTATTTTATGCGGACATAAACGGCCTTTTAGACAATTACAGTGATACAAATCCTAGAAACTTTTGGAAACTAGTCCGCAGGTTAATAAAATCATCCGACACATCTAATAGTATACCGCCGTTAAGGAGTGCGACTGGAAATATAGAAATGGATGACGACATAAAGACTAATATACTAAACGATTACTTTGTTTCAATATCTACTCTAGACGATACTAACATTGACGTACCTGTTATAGAACCTAGAACAGACTCGACCATTTCAGACATACCGTTTAATATTAATGACATTATCGACATTCTTAAGACATTAAAAATCGGTAAAGCTGTAGGAAAGGATACTATTAGTCATACCATGCTAAAGAATACCTCTAATTCAGTTGCTTATCCTCTTTCATTGATCTTTCGCTCATCTTTGGAAACTGGATCTTTTCCCAAACAATGGAAACATGCTCTAGTTATGCCGTTTTTTAAAAAGGGCGATAAACAAGACCCTTCAAATTATAGACCTATTGCACTACTAAGTACTATTGGTAAAGTTTTCGAAAGATTAGTCGCTAAATATTTACATAACTACCTTTTAGATAATTCTCTCATATATAAATATCAGTCAGGTTTTCAACCAGGTCACTCTACTGTACACCAGCTTATAGAAATATATCATACTATGTGCGACAATCTAGAAAAAAAACAGCCAACTTGCCTAATTTTTTGTGATATTTCTAAGGCGTTTGATCGAGTGTGGCATAGGGGACTGGAAGTGAAACTAGCTAGCTATGGAATATCGGGAAAGTTATTGGACTGGTTAATTGATTATGTTACTAATAGATCTCAACAAGTTTTTATTGGAAATAGTAGATCTTCTGCTAAGAGAACAAATGCAGGAGTACCTCAGGGTTCGGTTCTTGGCCCATTGCTGTTTATACTTTATATTAATGACATAACAGATAATATAGAAAGTCTATCAAAACTATTTGCTGATGACACCTCTCTTTTGTATTCGGATAAATCACCACAAGTAATTGAACAAAAAATTAATAATGATCTAGTAAATATACAATTGTGGGCAGATAAGTGGCTTGTCAAATTCAATCCTGCAAAAACAGAGGCTTTACTTATTTCTAATATTGATCTTGATCACCTCATTGAAATTAACTTTAATAATGTAAGTATTGAATTTGTTGAAAATCATAAGCATCTGGGAGTATTCATCAATGCTAACTGTAAATGGACCTATCACATTGATAATATATGTAAAAAAGTAGTTAAACAATTAAGTGTCCTCCGTAAATTGAAATATACCCTGAACCGACGTACACTGAATAAAATATATAGAACATTTATACTTCCTATTCTAGAATATTGTTGTGAACTTTGGGATGGTTGTTCTATTACTGATTCAGACAAATTAGAAAAATTACAACTTGAAGCTGGACGTATTGTCACTGGTTTACCGTCGTTTACTAGTAGACAATCTATATACAATGAAACTGGATGGGATTCTCTAGCCCATCGGAGATCCCGTCGAAAACTTCAATTATTTTTTAAAATCCACAATAATATAGCCCCTAACTATCTCAACACTCTACTCCCTTCCCTTGTCGATAACTCTCACTATAATCTTCGAAACGTTGAAAACTACAACCTACCTAACAACAGACTTGAATTATCTAACGTATCCTTTTTTCCTTCTACTGTTAGACTGTGGAACCAGTTACCTACTAGTATACGACGTAGTGCCACGTTCTCATCATTTAGAAACGCCATTCAAGACGTAAACTTGCCGCTTGTACCAAACCCCTTTTTCTATGGTGATAGGAAAAATAATATTTTGCATACAAAATTAAGAAACCGTTCTAGTACTTTGAAAAGTGACCTGTTTCGTGTTAACCTCATTGATTACCAACGTTGTATATGTGGCTTCCCTATTGAAGACACACACCATTTCTTTTTTACCTGTGATATATATAACGAACAAAGAATTAAGCTTTATCGTGAACTGAATGAATACATGCCTCTTAATTTAAATCTACTTCTATTTGGAGATACATCTCTTTCGGAACAGGAAAACATAACGATATTCATGCATACTCAGCAATACATTCGTGACTCTAACAGATTCTAGTACACCCCCTCCCCCTTGTCCCCTCTCTCTCCCTCTCTCTCAATTGAACCATAATATCCACTCTCTCTAAGAGGAAGATACTATATGTCATACATTAATAATGATGAGGATGTATGTATTATAATTACAGACTATTATCCCCCCTGTCTCTTCCCCCTTCCCCCCTTTTCTCTCTCTGTCTCTCTCTTATAATTTCAATTTATAAATTAAAGCATTTAAAAATGAAATAGTGTATATATGTAAATTAATTCTGCCATCTTGTTGTACTATTGTAAATATATGCTTGTAATTTGCTAGGAAAGGGCTTAATATAAGTTTGATAACTTGTGCCCAATCCATTTGCTTGGCAATAAAATATGTTTAAACTAAACGTGCACGCACATGCACTTTATAGGGGTCTTGATATTTTACAAATCACTATTTTCACAGAGTTATTGTAATTGCATTTGTGAAATGATTTAGCTGACAGGGCGTAACTCGCTCGACATCAAAAATTCGTAGCGACCCAGAACTTGTGAACTACTGCAAGCACGTGATTTGTACAGGTGAGGTCGGTAAACACAACACATACGACCTTCTTGAAGTCGTCTGATCTTATGTCAGTGTTTTCCCGTGAGTTAATTAGTGTTTTTGTAGCATAAGCTTTATTTCTGAAGTACGTGTGATAACACATTTCCAAGTTAAGTCTCTATATCGGGTGTTGACATATCATCGTCATGCACGTGTATTATTGTTTACTCGGTGTTACTATAATTTACACTACGGTAATGGAATGCCCGATACGCAATACGGAAATGACGACACGAAAATACGACAAGAAAAACATGTGTATAACGAAGGGTGGGAAGTCCTTAGCATCCTGACTTCAACAAGAACACACGTGAGTGATTTTCCTCCGCATACTCTAATACAATTTGGGACCTGAGAGCAGTTCTCAGCTACATGTTGTGACGTTGTGTGATAACTCAGACCGAATTCATGACATTTGGTATCGAACCCGACGCTATTTTTCGCGTATTTTGTCAATTTATCTTATTTGTTTTTTTTACCTTGCTAGTCCCCTCTCGCTCGCCACGTGCGCTAGCCTACGTGACCAGATGGCGAGTTACGTGTGATAGAATTTGGATCAGTTCTTATAGTTTATTGTTATTTATTTAAATATGTATTAGGGGTAATTCAGAGTCGGCGGTTCGCTGCCGTTCTGATGTTTATATTTAATTTAATCTAGGTTAGTTGTTACTTTGTCACGGAACTCTATTCGCCTGTATACAAAATGTAGTGGCATGGGCCGTCCATATTGGCGGGACAGGCGAGACTTAAGTTTTCGTTAGGTTAGAATTGTCATTTAAATATTGTAGGATAATTTTAATATGTACTGTAAGGTTTATATAGCTAGTTTTATATTACATTAGGTTAGGAATTAGGTATTTTAGGAATTAGAAAATATTTTGTAAACTGTTAATTGTTATATGTTTATAGTCGACTCATTATAATTTTGTACGGGAAAGATACACGTGTCTACTTGTGGCAACGTAAGTATACTGTCCTTGTGCATAATTGTTTAGTTCAGTGTTATGACTTGTTTCTTTATTACAACATTGAAGCTTTTCCGTAGTTTGTCTCATATTTGAGGATGTCTGTAATAAATTTACGGTCAGCTACAGAGGATGAGCTGTGTATACGTTGGAGGGTTTAGGCCCTGCGACGGCGCAGAAAATCATTGAGATAAAAATAAAGAGGTGAGGGCGACCTCACCTTATAAAAACTTGTGTCTAATTCGAGAATAGGCATTGAGAAGTGGCAGACATGGCTATGTGATGGGATTATCACGGGAATAATGGTCACTGCTCCATTGGAGGTGCAGTCACCATGCCCATCAACCTTATCACAGACAGATAGGCTTACTAGAAAGGAGGATGCAGTGATGGACATGCAGCATAAATTTAAAGAGCTGCAGGTCCAGGTTAGGGACTAAGTGGTTATATTGGAGACCGAGGCTCTTAAAAAAATTCAGAAGAGAGCATGGCGGCTTGTGCTGCCTCGCCTCCAAAGAAGACCTCTAATCCAGCCACTATGTTACCGACTACACCTAAGGGTTGTCAGTATGTCAGTAGCTAAGGGCAACAAACAAATAGCTGGTCACTCTGGGGGGATAGAGGTACATATCAGTCTACCTCCATGCTACCTGAGGGTATACCATATACTGACCCTCGGGCAATGGTTCCTTAACAGAAAGAGTCATGTTTTGACCCTACTCCCATAACATGAGAGGCCGCTGGTCAGCCCTTTTTCAATCGGATATGATTTTGCCGACTGCGACCTCTCATTTCCGAAGCACTAATTCTTTGATGCAGTTTCCGCCCGAAATCCGGGCGGAACAAAATCGGCTTGAAAAACTCACTTAAGTGGTTAACAGTTCATGACAACGGTGTCTACTCACGGTTTATATAATATAGATCTCATATATATGTCACAGACACAAATATATAGTATACTACGGAATAGAACACTCAAAATACATGTCCATGTCGTTGTAGCACATCTCTGACCTACATTTAAAACATGGCTTCTGGATTAATACAAAATATCAGGGGGGATTTCAAACGGAACGAAATGATACGGAGTTTGTTTGTATTCCGCTTGTGAAACATTACATGTAATCCATTTTTGTATTAACCGGAAAAATCATGGCAAATGCTGTCTGCTTCGCTTCGAATGAGGAAAAACTCATTATTTATGTCTTTGACACGAAGTTTTTCTCATATAATCATGGATTTATGGAAAGGAATATTTATTGGACCCTTTTGACCATTTAAATGTATGTAAACACGATATACTCTTTCTTAATCCGAACTTTGAAAATGTGATCGTCAGCATCGGGAAAATCAGCTATGGGCAGTTAGAGGTTACGCGGCGCCTGTCAAAAGTTTTTCGCCGTGTAAAACCTCTAACATTGTTGGAGTAGTTTTGACCCTATCCTACAGGCTATCCCGAAGGATGGGAGGTATGTAACGCGTCAAGGCCAGGGTCCCATATGACAACATTGACTACCAGTGCACCTTTTGCTTCTAAGTGGGGGTTTAAATTATAATCTGCCCCACATGTTGAGGAGGAAATGAATCTGCACTTGGATCACAGTATGTCCTGCCTATCATCACCCAATGAAAAGGAGGCAAAGTTCCTGTTAGAAGATGTCGAGCATAGTTTGACGCTTCCCAAGCAGGTAGGGGGGAATTATCCTCGGGGATATGACCCTTCGCAGCTACCTTTCCAACATAGGGAGGGTAACCTACCCCAGGCCATAAGCTGCCATACACCAATGGCGGGATAAATAACTATCCCCTATTGGGATACATAGACACTCAGTTAGGGCAAAAGCAGATTAAATTAGAACACCATACAACTCCTGCTCATGGTCTGTCTTCGGCCGTTGCCGGTGCTCGTGCAAAAAAGCCCTTTAACAAGCGCAGTAAATCGTTGCGTACTACCCGCGATGAAGGAAGAAAGAGGCGGACTCGCGACAGGTCCGACAACGAACGTCCTGCACGGCGCACGCATCGCACCCCCGGTGAACGATATACACGCCAATCACAGGGAACGCATCGTGCCCCTTCAAGGTCTACGTGATGATTCGTCAGAGAGCGACAAATCTGACTCCGATTTCTCCAGTGGGGAGGAGGAGGGGGACAGCGTTACGTATTCTGAGGACTCCTCCGATGACGAGCAGAGGCGTCGCTGAAGGAGTAGAAGTCCTCAGCGACACAAGTAGTCCGAATTATTCTGACGTTTTATCGACTTTTTTATATCGGTCTGTCGTCAATTAACGTCAGAACTCCGGCCCTCTATAATATGCGGGAAATAAGCGACCCGCGCCCGGGTCGCACTTCAAACTTGATATTTTAGAAACAAATCGTCACTTTCACACACATGTCGCACATGGATCGAAAGATCTATACTTTATGCACTAGGTGGTATCAATAACATGTTTCAAACAACCAATACAATCACTAAAAACATTATTTTTCAAACTTACTCTGTTTGACTCTAGTTTTTTTATAGCCCCGCCTTCTAATGCCACGTGACTTAAATATCGCCGGGCTCCGTCATAACGTTGGGAAATACCTTCGGTAACGCGAGATCTCGTCAAGTTATGTGACATTGCTCATGCCCTAATTTCCATTAAAAACATGGGTTGGTATAGAAAACGTTGGAAAATACTTTTCGTAATGATCTTTGAAACATGTTATTGATACCACCTAGCGCATAAAGAATAGATCTTTCGATCCATGTGCGACATGTGTGTGAAAGTGACGATTTGTATCTAAAATATCAGTTTGAAGTGCGACCCGGGCACGGGTCGCTTATTTCCCGCATATAATCGACGACAGACCAATATAAAAAAGTCGATAAAACGTCAGAATAATTCGGACTACGACACAAGATGCCCACTTACTCGGGTAAGGAGCGGTGGGAGTCCTTCGCTCTTAAATTCGAGAGAATTATAAAAGATAACAGACCGTAAGACTATACAGCGTTTTTTTATTGTCTGGTTGGTGATGCGTTGGAGTACGCCAATAAACTTCTGCGAACTCTTGGGTTCACTAAGCTCAAGAAGAAGATGAAAGAACGGTTCAGCGATAAGGACGTCCCGGTGGTGGCCCGCATAGAACTGCACTTCACTAAACAAGAGTAGAATGAGAGCTTAGCAGAATTTGCCCAGCGGATTCAAACCATAACTGGAGATGGCTTCGCGCATGCCGACACCACAACGCTCTGTTTGGTTCTCGCGCACCACATTACCCTAGTAGGCAGGTGGAATTTGCTGAGGGCACTAAGTCGGAAGATGACAAAGTAGAAGAAGACACTATAAAGTTCTTAAAAGATGAACTACAGGAGCTAAAGAAATCCCTGGCCCGACTTAATGCGGGCGGTGTGTCTGCCCGTCCGTACTCGCCTCCACCTCGGGATGACTACCGCTCTCCGGAACGCGACCGAGGTTCCCCTAAAAACTATGAAGGGAACCGACCTCCAGATTATCGTGCTAGAGTCCGCCCCAGGAGAACGGACGTAATAGGTACGACGGTCGACACCGAGATGCGTCGTCATACTCAGAACAAGGTCCCCTGCGAAACCGTACCTGGTCACCCGAATGTCATGGGGAGTCACCTGTCACTGGGTCACCAGGTCCAGGTCCAGGTCAACCTAGTCGGGGCCCCTAGGAACCAGGGAGAGGCAACAACAGTGCCGCCAGTTGAGGTAACGACAGAGGACGGAATACCCAGGCGTACCATCCGAGGTCTCCATCAGCGTACCCGGAACCATTAAGAGGCACGGCAGAGAGATCAAGGTCTCCATCCCGCACGCCTAGAAATGAGGTTCAACCTTTGAGGGAAGTGAAGCTGGCAGTCTCAGATGGTAGTAGTATTACCATACCACTGACTTTAAATGGAACTCCAATTCAAGCTGTTGTGGATACAGCGGCCACTATGACGCTGATTAAACGGGAGCTGGTATATAAGCCGAAATACACTGGACCGTATGTGAGGCCCCCATCACGAACGACATGTTGTTGGGGTGGATTTCCTGTCCAGGAACAAATGTGTCATGGACTTAGATGCAGGCGTCATGTTTATTGGTAGCCAGGTAATACCTATTACACCGTGAGTGGAGGAGCAGAGGACATCATCCGCTGTCAAGGTAGCCCAAAATGTTACAATACCACTAAACACTATAGAGCACTGTCCGGTGGATTGGGCTTAACCCAATGGGGATACGTCCACGATTCAACCTACACAACATCCCGGGGGAGTCATGATTGCCGGTTCGGTAGTGCCTCCCGGTGCCCAACAATCCATAATGAGAGTGATGAATGACACTGCC